TTTTTGCTTGAGCACATAAACGACAGTAGAAGGAATGGAATGCAGACCAGATTTGATATGAAAATATAAGGATCTGGAAAAAGGCCCATTTTTGGTTGTGACTGGAAATTGGGAAAAAAGTGGGACTTCGTATCACAGGCTTCAACGCTCACCCAAAGGCAGTTGGCACGATAGGTACTCATGGCGACTAGGATTAATACGCCTGGCAGGACAGAACTCCACGCCCCCGAGCACGTGCTACGTAGCGCCTTTTCCAAGGAAGGTACCCCTATAAAGCCCTGTCAAGCTGCAACACACCGACCCGGACGCCCACCGCGCCGCCCGCCCACAAATGGACGACCGTACCTGATGCTCGTATTGCTTCATTTGCGAAGTAAAATATGAAGCGAAGGGATTGGTATGAAGCGGCTGCGGTGCTGCATGGATATATGAGTACATACGTGCAGCCGTACCTACCGTAGCGTTACTGGCACGATGCCTATGGGAAACTCGTCCGAATATGCTTCCTTAGATGAGGAACGAATTCGCTACTCCTCACTACATAGCTGCTAGCATTCGAGACAGAGTACCAAATTATCGTGTGATATGCTTACAAAGCCACCTTCCGCGATAAACTAAGGTTATAACCTCTCAAATGTGTCAGTTAATCTGTTTGGCAATTATGAAGGCCATGCTACATCCATCCACCCCTAGAAATCCTATCCGCAGCCTCATCGTGGCGTAGGGGTGAACGGTTTTGGAATGTTCCAAAAACGTACGAATGCGGAAGGTGCCACGTCAGAGCCTGGCGAGCTACGCGTGGTTAAACTTCTTATCGCCGAAAACAGTAACAGTTATGGGCCTCATTCCCCTGAACCTGAGGGAACCGCCGACAGGGCGACGTCGGCTGGACGTCGGAGATCTGCTAATAATCACAGGGCCAAGGAGATTCAGTCGCGCCAGGACTAGGATGACGATCTGTACTTTCAACGCACGGACGCTTGCATCGGAAGCTCACATCGAGGATCTGATGTTTGCCAGGAAGATCAAGTACGACGTCATCGGACTGACCGAGACGAGGAGGCATCGCCCGCTACACGCCGTATACGAGACTGGAGAAGAACTGTTCCTCGGAACATGCGACAGCAGAGGCGTTGGCGGTGTGGGCGTCCTCGTCAACACGCACTTGGCCATGAACATCGATTCGTACGAAAATCTGACGACCCGAATCGGACGTTTGCGATTGAGAAGATGTGGTTCAACTCCAGCTTTGACAATCTTCGTCGCCTACGCACCAACATCAAGCTACGACGAGGATGAGCTCGAAGCGTTCTATATGGAATTGGAGAAGTTCTACAAGGAAGATCATACCTTCTTCAAGGTCATCGTCGGTGATTTCAACGCTAAGGATCGGACACCAAAGAAGAACGGCTGAAGAACTTCACATCGGGACTCACGCGAACGGAGTGGAATGAGCAGGGTGAAAAGCTGTCTGAGTTTATCATGTCGACCCACACCATCCATGGTAACTCGCAGTTCCAGAAGCCCTACTCTCTACGCTGGACATGGGAGTCTCCTGGTGGACAATTCCATAACGAGATCGACCACATCATCTGCAATCGAAGGTTTTGCCTGACCGATGTCGCTGTTGTCCCTAAGTCTCTCTACACGGGATCCGACCATCGTCTCCTTCGCGCAAGATTCCGCTTTTCGATGCGAGGAGAGAGAGCCGCAAAGTTCAAGAAGCGAAGCCCCAAGACCACCATCAACTGGGATCACTTCACTTCTCTCGCTGGGCTCTGGGAGGATTCTGTCATCGACAACATCGACGAGGAATACGAAAGGCTTGTTGCACATCTTCACGACTGCGCCAAGAAGTCAGAGGGTTCCAAGATTACCAAGAAGCGTCTATCTCTGGAAAACTCCGAGGCTGATTTCGCCAACGTGGAGCCGCACGAAGCCGCAGGCAATTACCAGCTGACGTCTGAGCTTGCGAAGCTATGCAGAGAAGCGATAAAGGAAGACCTCAAGGAGAGAAGAGCAGCAGTACTGGTGGAAGCCGCAGAGGCTGGGAAGAGCGTACGCAACGCCCCGCGACTTCGCCAACTGTAAGACTAAGATGACCGCCCTCCGACGTCCGGATGGAAACAGTCCGGATGGAACAATCACCGCATCCAGAAGGGCAATGGAGAAGGTCATCCACGACTTCTACTCGGATCTCTTTGACAGCCACGTCCACCTGCAACCATACCGCTTGGAGCAGGATGGATATGTCGTTCCTGCAGTTCTCTCTTCCGAAGTCCGACACGCCATCTCGTCGGTGAAGAATCGTACGGCACCCGGTCCCGACAGGATCAGACCCGAACATCTGAAGAATCTTCCGCCAGTTCTCGTCAAAACTCTGGCTCGACTCTTCACGCGCTACCTGTCGGAATGCAAGGTACCCACCTCGTGGAAAACCAGCAAGACTGTGTTGCTGTACAAGAAGGGAGACCTGTACGACATTGGCAATTATCGCCCAATCTGCCTGCTGTCTGTAGTCTTCAGCAACGATCGATCACATCACACGTAACGAAGGTCACTGTATAGTATCGCGCGAGAGTACAAGATGCCGTTATGTCTCACGTTATCGACTTGAAGAAAGCCTTCGACTCCGTTGAGACAGAAGCGGTTATCGAAGCCCTGGGCAACCAGGGTATTCCTACTCAGTACATCAGGATTCTTCGTGAGCTCTACAGCAACTTCACGACCAAGATTTCACCATTCTACAATGATCAATCATTTGATGTGAATTAGAGGGCGTGCGACAGGGCGCACACCATACGTCGCCCAAGTCTTCATCAGGCCGCTCTCTCGAGAACGTCATGCGTCAACTGGAATGGGAAGACATGGGAGTGAAGATCGACGGTCGGCAACTACACCATCTCCGCTTTGCTGACGACATCGTTTTGATAACGCCAAACATCGAGCAAGCGGAACGAATGCTGGCTGAATTCGACTGCGTGTGGAAGAATCGGTCTACGGCTGAATCTAACGAAGACGATGTTCATGAGAAACGGATTGGTTTCTGATGCCCCATTCACGCTCAACGGAACGACCATCTCTGAATGCTCTAGCTATGTGTACCTAGGTCGTGAAATCAATATGATGAATGACCTAGCTCCAGAGCTGAGCAGGAGGAAGCGAGCGGCTTGGGGAGCCTTCAAGAACATCGAGGGAGTAGCGAAGAAGACGAAGAACACCAAGCTCCGTGCCCACCTCTTCGATTCCGCGGTCTTCCTGCCTTGACGTACGCCTCAGAGACTTGGACTCTACGAAAGCAGGATGAGCATGCGGTCGGTGTTATTCAACGCGCCATCGAAAGGGCGATGCTCGGAGTTTCCGCTATACGCAAGTGAGAGAGGGAATCCGGAGCTCCGCACTCCGCCAACGATCGAAGATCAGAGACGCCGCCGCATTTGCCAAGGTTTCGAAGATCAGGTGGGCCGGACACGTCATGCGTTTCGAGGACGACCGCTGGACCAGAGCAATCACCGACTGGATTCCACGGGATGTCAAGCGAACGCCTGGAAGACCGCCTACGCGATGGTCAGATTTCTGTCGTGAAAGCTCTGAATGAATGGTATGAAGTTCATCGTGTCCCTCGAGCTGAGAGAGTCCTTGCACGTTGCAGGGACGAATGGAGACGTTACTGGCGCCCGCTCGAGGAACTCGATGATCAACGGGAGCACAGATGATACAGGTGATAGGTGATGCTACATCGAAAGGGTGAAAATTTGCAGAGAATGCAGGTAAAGTAATCATGCACCCGCATCCTTAGGGCCCATGCCACACCTTGTTATCCTGCTAGCTACTATAGCCCTCTACCAGCTTCTAGCATTCGAATGGCAAAAGGGCGGATAAGGAAGATAGTGTTCGATGCGATACCAACAAGTGGAAATTCGTACAAGCAACTGCCTTCTCTTCATTGCATGCACGTACAAGTTGCAATCGGCGTGGAGTCCCATACAGGATATTACATGGTTTTTTTTTCTGCTTTTTTCTACATTCGTCAGTCACCCAGCACTTTGTCGTTCGTATCTGAGCTTCATTACCCACCGTCTGTGGTCGCTGACATTGCCTCTATACACCATGTTCAGTGAAAGTGCTGCATAATCTGAACATGTATTGCGAGTAGTAGTACGCCTGGGGGTGTTCTACCTCCCTCCTTTCCCTAACTGCAAATCCTGACTAACAGAGGAGCCAGGCAAGGCACGGCTCATTCTCGCGCGGAGGTGAAACAGCGGCCATTTGCGCTTTTCTCAGGTCGAGTCTCGGTAGGGAAGGGTCCACTACATCTATAAGAGGGCACAAAGGAGCTCATTCTGTTTCGCCACCCACCTGTCCCCTCCTACACAACCCCATGAATCGCCTGACTTCTCTCAACTTCGATAAAAGCCATACTCCTTCGTATCTTTTTCATCTTCCAGTGAAAACAGTCAATGGGATCGCAATTGGAGCAAGCGAAGCTCCTCAAAACTGCTGAAGCTTCAGGGACGCTTCGAGCCTTGGCTGGACTACTCTCCAGAGGCTGAGGCTTGGCCGCGTCTAGTCTGACGCGACAAGGCGCTATGCTCTTGAAGGAAGAGGGAGCAGTGCCATGAAAACCTGTCATGCTTTCTTGATGGGTACGGTAGAATAAACATGACGTGACCTAGCCCCATGTGGAGTGTGGCCCCTCCCGATACATGCGAACCAATGCTGGACTAGCGCCGTGATAGTCAGTCAATCATGCAAGCAGGATCTAATGAATCATAACGTCCTACCCGGCCGACGAAGGAGTAGATCGCTCCATGTGTGCAGCATCGAAGTGATGAATATTGAGGAGAAAGTACTGTAAATGAACCACACCGATGTTTTCAGAGCTGAAAGAGGAAGTGCTGTAAACAAATGTTATCACCTTGTTGATAGAAAGCATGCGGATGGGTGGTGTGTAAGCACATTCTACAGACAAAGGACTCACCGTCGATCAATTTCTTCAGTGCGCGCCAAGCACTGGACTTCCACTCACACTCGCAAATACACGGAGCGGAATTTGCCAGTGCGCCTTCCCCTTCGAGACATCCGATACCAAACAGCCAACTATCAAGAGACGGACTGCTCGGTAGGCTTGGATAGAATCCAACTCAGACGTAGCGTCTCCAATCTCAACGCAGTCCACACCCATTGCTAAGAAGCAAACACTATACAGTGCGCAGATTCATAACTTGGCCCTGATATAGCACAGGTGCCTGTTTTGAGATAGATGACGTATTAGTGACGTCACACAAGGAAGCGGTCAGACTCCACGATCGAGACGTCGCGCTTGACGACGCACTACCGCGCAAGCCCTCTCCAATACTATAGACGGGACCGTACTACAGTCTGGTATCGACTGGCGCCTGCCGCTAAGGTTTTGGGAGATTACATGAATAGGAGGGTACCAGTGTGTAATAAGGAGCACCTACTGTCCTCTTATCCTATCGTGGCGTGTCCAGGCAGTGGGGGGAGAATTTTTTGCAGCATAATACCCTTTCCTGTCCCCCTCCACAACCAACCGAACTTCTTCTGAACCCTCACGGAGCCAATCTTGAAAGCTGACAGGCGACCACAATTGGTGGGAAGCGGAGTGGCGCCGCGCTAAACCGCTCCTCCCCCTCCCTGACATGGGTTGATTAGGGGATTGAGGGGGAAGCCGTGGACAAACTATGAGAAATTGTAGTTTTGGAGCGCTGCCGACTAGCTAGGAGGGTAGAAGGGTGTATTGTACGCGTGAAACGGGAAAAACCAGCAATCGGATCGATACCCGTATATGGACGTTCAAAGTACAGAAGCGCTACTGCAATGGTAGCTCGTCGTAGCGCGACGTAGCGCGTCGACGCGCGCCCGCGAAGTCTGAACGCTACCTAATAGGTTATGACACGACTTAAGGTGTCGTTTCATTAGACGACAAGTGATCTTGCAACTATTAATAGGTAACAGGCCTTTACACCCCATATCCCGAACATGGAGAGGGCGCGGTCGTGTACTGTTTGAACATGAAGTTGAATATGATCCGCGCGGAACATTCCGTATGAGACAGCTGTCATTCTGCTTCGTGCTGGACAGCGAATGATTACAAAAGAGCAAAAGCCGCCACGTTCAGCTGAAAAGGCGGCCACGCCCACCCCATCTTCGGGATATGGAGTGCACACCTGCGCCCACGATTTATACAGTAGTAACAAAATCGGTGAAAACCTTGGAAGATTGGTAAAATATAGAATTATTCACATATTTTAATAACAGACAACATCAATTAACAAAAAGCTACCACCGTAGGAATAACAACGAAATATACATTTTTCAGATAACGACTAACTGTATATACAAAAAAACTAATAGAACAAGATGATTTCTGAAGCAGTCAGTAGAACTGTAGATGAATGTCACCAGAACCTCGAGCAAAACGAGCATCCACATTTATCACGGATTTGTTGAGAAGTGTCGGTGAAAGAAGATAGACACCTTGTCGTACGCCTTCCTTCCATTCCGGTACATCTCCTGAGCTCACAAACTAATTTAGGGGAATACGTACGAGTCCAATATAGGCCCGTAGTCGGTCTGCGTCTTATGACAATCCCTTCCATTTCTTCAATCTTTGCTTGTGCTGCAAAAATGAGGATCCAGCCCAGGCTCAGGGGAAGGAAGGAGTGTGTACGTGATGCAAGAATGGGGCTTCAGTAGTACTTGAAAATGTGGTTGACCCACAACACGACCTTTTTTAACTCCTGGGACGGTTGGACTGCAGGAAGTGGGCTTGGCGTCGGCGCCGAGTGTTCTCCCACCCCATTACCGAACCTGCAAACGACCACACAGTTGGTAGAAAAGGGACGCCGCACTAGCCCGCGCGTCATATGCAAACCGGTAACAAAAAACGAATTATGAATGAGATGTTACTATTCTGACGTCACGGTTGCACGCCCAGTAGTTATCGGATTGCGTTGCCGAACAATCCAGCTCAGTCCACAATGGGATTACCGTTCGTTGCCATACCTGAAAAGCAGTTTTTTCAAGGAAGAATCGCGAACATACGCCAAATCTCTGGCAATACATGGAGGCAGTGCAGGTAACAAGGGATTAATAGTCAGCTCATCGCTAACAGCAAAACTCAGGTTGTTACCGTGGTGAGAGGAGACCAGGCGGCGCCACAAACGCGCAGACTCCGACATAAGTGTCCGCGCGGTTTGTCAGCGCCCCACAGTACTCCAACGTTGAGCTAGAAAAGGGAAAGGGATCTCTATTTCAGTGATCATTCAGTGTCGCAGCAAAGTAGCCTTAGGCGCAGCAACTCGCATCATCTCTCAACTCCACCTCCACTCGACATTAACGCCCAGTATTCTTATTCTCGTAACTGAACCTTTAAAAATGAAATGCTCAGAATAAGAACGTCGTTTCATGATCTCTACGGATGTTCCTTTTGGCATATTATCGTGGATGATTTTATGTGCAGCAATGCCACCCCTTTAGTGACCATCAACCTTATTTGATGCGAGTTTAACATGGATCTGGCTTGACAGCATCATAGGAAGTGTGTTCTTATACAGGTCCTCACTTATGTCCTAAAGATGCTCGTGCGCATCGGCGTATTATTTACACTTGAAGTCGATATAAAACAGTTCGAGATACATCCCGCGATAACCGGATGGGCGGGGACTCACTGCGCCAACTGCTTCCTGACTGATATGGCTTCCTCATTCACTGCTTGTGACTGCTCATCCTACTATCGCGGAATGTCGCTTCGAGCTCATTCCGCGTCATCGAATGACCTCGTCATGTGTCAATACAAGCTAATTCTATATGAAGTCATGAAGAATTTGAACCTGCAGGGAATTTCGAAATTCGCTTCCACATCATGAGGTTCTTGACGGAGATCAAAACGTAGCACTTCAAACTTCTCTCCTGACACTACACCTTCATATTCCCACAGGGGATGAATGTCCACCAGAGCGTCTGTGGCTAGCCGTGCTTTCTGAAGAAATTCTTACCCACTTTGATCGTTTGATATTTTCATGCGAGTTTCAATCTAATACCTGTGATATATCATCAAACAACGACAAGTCGAAACCGTTCACTATTCCAACGGGGGCGCCAGTGTTTTGAAGGTGGTCAAACTTCTCGCATATCCCATATAAGATTGCACTCTGAATGATAGGTATCGTTGAAGGAAGACAATAGTTGAAGAAAACAGTATCCACCTGTGGCTGTATCGTAATCTGGGATCCGAACCGCTCTCGTAACGACGTCACGTCATACCAGAATCGTAAATTTTGCCAAGGTGTCATGGCCGACAGATAGAACGGTTCACCAACGACAACTTCTGGCTAAACCGCAAAATCTTTATAATCTTTATATCCCTTAAGTGATCGATCGAGTGATTGTTTGTTTGTTTGTCTGTCCGGAAATTCGGTTCGACCTGAAGAACGACTTGGAGAGGTCGGGTCAAGGTGGGGATGGGTAGGGCATGGGACAAGAAGTAAGGAGCACACTTGACCTATGCGAAGCCCCGCCCACAGTGGGCGGGGCATGCCGAAAGTTGGCGGTACCGCGGACAAAAATTCATAATTCGCTTCCGGAGCAGCCAGAGATGGGGAAAAAGTGGAATAATGTTAGCAAGGGGTTGCCAGACTAACTGGGAGAGACACACCCAAAATGGGCGGGCGTACTTGCGATGGGCGGTGCTTCCCACAAAATACATTAACTCGGTTGCGCGAGTGTTCAGAAATCGCAAAAAACTCGATGCAAAGGACAATATCTGGCGAGTGCTGGGGTGTGTTGAGACCGCCCACAGTGGGCGGAGCTAGCCTTCAACCGCAGGATACTCATTTCAAAAGTTTGTAGCTCGGTTCCAGAACACTCCAGAGACCGGAAAAACGAGGATTAAGGTCAGCGAGGGCTGGCCGATTGAGAAATGTGGGGCACACATGTTGCGGGCGGGGCCAGCCCGAGGTGGGCGGAGCCAGACAAAAAAATCTAAAAACGGTTTCAGAGCGCTCCAGACACCGGAAAAAGTGTATTAAGGTCATCGAAGGGTCGCCGGTCAAGAAATTGGGGCACACATGTTGTGGGCGGAGCCCGCCCTCTGTGAGCGA